TAATATCTGAACAATTACCAATATATGAACAAGATAAAATGCAGTTAACAGATGTAAAGAGACACAAGCAATTGTTAACCCAGTTCTGTGCAAACACACCTACGTTTGGGGGCTACCAAGCCAGGAAGGAAATTCACTAAACATAATTAATTTAAAGATTCTCAGCAAACTCTCTCTAGTTTATAATCTTCTCACCTAATCTCTACCCGTGTAATTTCTATCTAAGACACTCTCAGATAAGAGACACCTTTCACTCCCCCTCAATCACAGCAGTGATAAAAACAGAAGATTAAAAAGTAGAAGACACACTTCAAGGACACCACTTGATCTTGCTTAAAAGCTTTAATTAAAAACAATGCACTTGCGCTTAAAAGCTTAGAATGGACAACTTACAACTCAAAGAACTCAGTCCAATTCACACATCAAAGTGATAAATGAATGGCTCACAAATAACAAAAACACAAGAAGGTAGAATACTATTCCTTAAGCAATGCACACGCTCAACCCTAGCTTCTCTGATCTTAAATTAGGATTGAAAAGTCTTTATATAGAAACACTTTGTATGGGCTTGGGCATTAGCAAAAACGAACTTTGATTTGATAAAATCAAATAAGATAATTCTTCAAATCTTTTCATAATTAATATCATAGAAATAGAACCAAATCAGATTTGATCAAATTAAATCAAATCAAACTTTAAATCTTCTCAATACGTTCTGCATGAAAATAGGACAAAAGATTCCAAATAAACTCCACGAGTTATACAGCAGAAACTCTTTTGTTTAACGAAAATCTCCACCTTGATTGCACCAACAATATTTCTTACTAAAGAAGCACAAAAGGTTGCACAAAAACATAACAGACAAAACATAACATTCTAACTGAATATTCTATAAACATAAGTCAGGACATCATACTTGACATCATGAGCTAAACCCTGCGACAACAACAAATAACCACCTGCAGAATGTTATGATCACATGTCAAGACATCCTATAGGACATCTTGTGATAACACCAAGTTTTACCAAAAATGCTGCCAATCACCGTACTAACACATAGGTATATGCTAAATATCCACATGCATTCTAGCAGGATCAATGTGGAGTCTTGCTACTTTACGACTGTTGGACTTAATGCTTTGTGTTGGTTAATAGTCTTATATATCAATTATTGGGTAACACACTGATTTCACGACGTGAAAACTAAAAGGAGATACGAATGAGGATAATAAGTGGTAGTATTATAAGGTGAGTAAACGAACATATTACTAACCTATGGATGTGCATGATAGATATGTAATGATGAAATCCACCCCCAACAAGCATTATTATTATTAACACCAAAATCTCCAACTTTACTTTCTGTCATTTACTTTTCTGCATCACAACAACCAAAAAACCCTTTCTTACTTAGAATAATAAAACACTTTTAAATTGTCTTTAAAACCATCGATCTCAGTGGATATGATAATTGTAAAACTTAATTTTACTGCTAACGCGATAGAAGTATACACGAATCAACCTTATTGGTTTGAGGCACCTAACAAGTCTTTAGTATGCAAGCTTCATAAGGAACTGTATGGCTTAAAATAAGCACCAAGAGCTTGGTTTGATCGCCTCAAGAACTTTCTAATCAAGCTCCAACCTGTGTTTAGCAAGTGTGGTCCTTCACTCTTTGTCTACTCTCACAATTCTAACCTAGTATATGCTAGTGCATGTAAATGATATCATTGTCACCACCAACAACATTATACTCACTTAGACCCTTGTTTCAAAGCTTCAGTTCATCTTATCACTTAAATACCTAGGTAAACTTGACTACTTCCTAGAAATTAAAGTGAAATATAAGCATGATGGCTCTCTCTCTCTCTCTCTCTCTCTCTCTCTCTCTCTCTCTCTCTCTCTCTCTGGGAAAGTATCTAAGAGATATCTTAACAAAAAACTAGCACGCTTGAAGTCTAACCATTGTCTCCTCCTATGGTTAGTAGCCTCGAACTTTCCAAGATTGTATCTTATGTACTTCCCGATCTAACAATGTAGAGATCACTCGTAGGAGCACTACAATATGCCACAATCACACGTCCAGATATATATTTTTGTATCAGCAAAATGTGCCAACAATCTCTCTCATTCCACTTCATGCATTTTGGGGTGCTGATTAGGGTTCTAACCCTGATGACAGACGCTCTACCTTTGGATCATGTGTTTTTCTAGGCAAGACATTCATCTCTTGGTGGGCTAAAAAACAACCTATCATATCTCGCTCTAGCACTGAAGTTGAATATAGAAGCTTTGCCATAATCTTATATAAACTATTATGGATTCAATCTCTTCTTCAAGAATTTGGCATATCTAACTCTACTCCTTTATTCACTATGATAATCTAAACACAATTGATTTATCTCACAATATCATCCTTCATATCCGTACAAAACACATGGAATTAGATTTCTTCTTTGTTCAAGAGAAGGTCCTCAATAAACAATTTGAAGACTTTATAACCATGCTTATCGTGTGAGATTCCAATTTATCCCCCACAGTTCAGCTTGTAGAAGGGTATTAAATGTTATCATGTACTAATATCCCTTACTATACTTAATGTGCACTAGCTACATGGTAGATTCCCCTTTGCTAACTAACTTGTAATTGCTCCCTAAAATCCAGAAAATTGATCCTTTGACTTTAGGGATTAACTAACTAAATTAGTTTGTTTTGCAAGCTTATAAATATGTCATACACTCAATGCATTCAATATTAAAAATATATGAATCAAAATCAAAAGAAATTGGTTAAGAATTTCTCTGCATAATCAATGCAATTCTATATTTCTAACAAAGACAAACTCAGTAAAAGTCTCATTCTACAACATAGGAACATGGACTTAAGGAGCAACTGACCTAAATCTTCAACAAGACCCACAAAGAATGTCCTATAACAAGTGTTGAAGGTGAAGACACACCGAACAAGTGGACCCTTACCTCTTCTGAGAGCACACAATCACGCAACCCATTACGTCCCTCGTAGTTGATTCCAACTCAAACAACTACTCGAAGCGTCAAGTTACACGCGGACGGTTGTAATCGTCCATACTATATAAAGATCAAACAACGTCATTTCATGTATTCAATTTATTCGCACTTTCATACTAGTTTTTATTCAATAACTGATTTGAATATTAGAGTGTTAATTTTACTTATCTACTTTTTCTCCACTTTTTCTCCGTCGTTTATCGCATCAAAACTTTATTTCACCATTTTACTATACATTTTTGAGTCCCAATAATACCATATAATAATAAATAAATAAAAAGGAAAGAAATAGCATAAAACATCTTATGAAAACAATATCAACGTTTTCCATTTTGTTTTGGGCAAACACGACGAATGGCGTTCTCTAAAACGGGAAATTTTGCATGATCACATTTTATTTGTTGGAGAGTGATTGATTCCTTAACTCAGTTTTCATGTGCAAACTTATCTACCAATGTTTTCAAAATTCTTTCTTTGGCAAAAAGATGTAAGTGACAAAAGGAAGGGAAATGAAAATAAGTAGTTTTTGGAAACTTAGGCATAAAAAAAGGTTGGTAAGAATAATACAGTACAATGTACGGTATTATTTTGCCCCATAAAGAAAACACAAAAAACTCACTTCTTCAAGTCTATAAGATTCCAAGAGCTGGCACATTCACTTTATTCTTCTCTAAAACACTCTTTTTTCTAAGTCACAAGACAATGCTTAAAGAATAAAAACGCACGTTTAAATTTTATATAAACAAATTGATTTTTTTTAATTTAAAAAAAATTTACAACTTTTAAAATAGTTTTAAAAAAATTTAAATAGTAGAATTTTTTTAATCTCTTTTTTTATAAATTAAAAAATTATTTTTGATAAATTAATAACATAAATATTCATTATTAAAGATTAAAAACTACATAGTTTTTCAAAAGATATATATCTAAAAAATAAATGTTATAAACAAAAACTATTCAAAGTAATTTTAAATTTAAGTAAAAAAAATTTAATTTTATTATTATAAAAATTACAGTAAAATGATGAAATATTTAAAATAATATTTTATGAAATTATTTGAAATATTTTTTTATTTGAAAAAAAAAGTCATAGTAAATCTTTGTATTTTTTTTATAATAAAAATATATAATATTAGAAAATCATTTTATATATATATAGGACCCATGTGCTCTTTTTAATGCATTGGTTTTGCTTATAAGAAAACTTAGGGGTCTACAAAAATTGGATTTGGTCTAGTTGTATGTAGCTTGAACCCAACTATAGTATTAGATTGAACCAATTTAAAAAACCCAAACTCGACTTTAAATTCGTTAAAATTCGACGAGATACAAATACAATAAAAATTAAGATAAGACAATACAAAGACAATATTTATTTGGTCTAAGACAAATCACTAAATATAAAAAAGAATTAATCAATAATATTTTTAAATCCTAAGACAAAAAATAATAGAAATTTAGAGATCTATAAATGTCTTACATGTTAATTTTGTGAGGAGAAAAAAGTATAATAGTTATATGATTGAGAAATATTGATCAAGAAAACTTTTCTGCAAAATTTTGTGCCAGAACAATATAACTTCATTTAAAATAAAAACAAAAGATTTATCACCATGACTTTTTTCATCATTTTCAGAGACTGGATAAGAGCCATTTGCATGAAAAATCAAATGAAAATTTCAAAGCAATCCCATGAGTTTAGGTTTGAAGTAGCAAGTTGATCCATTTGGATGTACCATTTGCTTATGGTAGTAAATAATATGCAGATTTCTTCTCAGACTGAACAAGTTACTGAATAATACACAGTGTTCATATTAAACATGAATAGACATTATTAATTATGGTTGTCACACCTTAAAATTTATAATCTATACCTAAATAAAAACAATAAATTAAAAGATACAATATATATATTTATATAATAATCATATTTTTAAAAAATTAATCAAAATTTTTTTCTAGTGCTGGTCTTTAAGCCTGACGTATTTCTGAGTCCGAGACACGTTTCTTGTATCGCGCAATAAAATCCGTAGCTCTCATGTCAATTACAGGATCAGCTACTCCCCAGCTGCCCTTATCTTCATCACTAGGCCATATTTTGTACCCTGGCTTTGTTCCTTCTTCATAAGCATTGTAATTACTTCCTCCTCTATGCTTGTTTGATTTGAAAATGTTGAAAATAGATAGAAAAGATGAAGATTTTCTTTGCCTATTTTTGCCTCCCATTATATGAAAAACACTAATAATGATAGTGAGTGAATGAAAATTTGTTGTTGTGAGTTGAAAAGAAGTTGATGTGGCATGTCTGAATTTATAGTAAGAAACTTAAGTGTTTGCATGCAAGCTAAGCCACTTTGAGACAAGAGAATCTGATTCAAATTATTTTCATGATTAATATCTATTGTCTATAAAGTTGTCATGGAATATTTGTACTGTTAAAACTTTTGGTAAAGGGACATTTTTTGTGGTGCTTTGTGAATTATAGGGTAGGTTTGATCGTGGCTAATGTTATATGCTTTTTCATTTTTTGTTTCATTATATGAAAAATTGAAATATTTGGTGTTCTATTAGTCCTTAAGTTATTTCTTTCTTTGTAAGAAACATTTTATCTGGTCTACATGACTTGGTGTATGTTCTTCCACTAGCATGATTTCCACTTCTAGTAAAGGACAATTTCAAACAAGTCTTTTTATTGTGTTATGCAATTTACCAATTGGTCATTTTAAATTGATATACCAACCTAATCAACTTATATATTTCTACAAACCAAAAATCCACAACTAGATTAGAGAGCTTATATGATATACAATTATTAGGTATGAGCCTAATGAAATTTTGAATCAGACTTAGATTCTTTGGTTACATAGTGAATTTGAATATCTAATTTATTAATGGTATTCTAGTCGACATCAGAGATACATTCAAACACTTTGACGCTCAAGTTAATAACTAGATAATGCAAAAAAAAAAAGTATGGAGAGTGTGTATCTTAATTTTGACGTTCGTCTTTCTTTTATAGGTGAATTTTAGGATTTCTAAAGATCCAGAACTTTCCTTCTAGAGCAAGTGACAAAGTATTACTCTTATGTCATCTAATGGTTTTTATTCAATCACATGTTTTGATTAGGTGTATTTTTATGGAGAAACTTAAGGTCTTCTTGATCTCTTACCTTTCTTTTTGGTTTGGTTTTTCTAGTGATTTCTGTATCAAATCGTTCACAAGATTTTTTGTCGTTTTGAGTAATCTTCATTACGAGTTACTCTTTTATTGGTCTAATGTCATCCTAAAAGCCTACCCTGATAAGAACACGCGAGATAATTTATATTAGTGCTTGTATGGTGCAAATGAGAGGCACTAGATAATAACCATCAGACATATATATTTTTTGGACAAAATAATAATCATCAGAAACTCACACTTACATTCTAAATTTAGGATTTGAACGCAATACAAAATGTTCAACTTAAGAATATCGAAATTTTATAGTTGAGCGGAATTATATTTTACAAACAATCCAAATGGACTTTTGTGTAAAACCGTTGAAATGTATCTTTGACTAAGATGGAAATTGATTATGGGGATCGACAAAAGACTAATAGATCACGCTTAAATTCAACAAATTTAATTTCACATTTTTCTCCATTAAAATATATATATCCAACAAACACAATATTTTACAACCATTCACGTTTCTTTCTATTTTGAGTCGCCTGCAAAGCCCAAAGATAAAAGGTCCAATTGTAAAGTGGAAATGGTAGAAGCGAGAAAAACAGGTAGACATTCTCCTCTTTAGAAGCAGAATATTCCACATAAGAGAGATTTAATGGTAGCCTAGATCAATTTGATGGTTGACCGTGATATACGCCTCACTTCGCATTTTCAGTTGTCAACCACTTATCTTATCTAAGATGGAAATCACATCTTTTCTCATGTGTTCAGATTCATTCTCATTCAAACATTACTTTTTCGCTCTCATGTTGCCTTGAACGTTGGAGTGCTAACCTTGCAGATGAGCTCCCTCTTTATCGCATTAGAAGCTCAGGTCGACAACATCAAGCTCTACCTCCTCGTTAACCAATCAATTCTGGCTCCACACCAAAATATTGGCATTATATGTGAGAATCCTTTTTTGATTCCCACGCTTCAAATCTCCTCCATAAGAAGTTCATATCTTGTCCATCAGAAGTTCATATCTCTTTCATTAGAAATTCAGATTTCCTCTATTAGAATTTCATATCTATGTTTGTCGATCACTTTCCTCGGATTCTAACTTCTTATCCCTCATAATCTCGCTCATATCCATCTCTTATGGTGGCACCAAAAGCCACTCGCTTCATTGTTTAACGGGCTACTCCCGCTGCTCAAGATACAAAATGACCATTTTCTCTTCCTCAAATTATGGATGATCTAGTTTTGATAGAATCTTTTCCCAAACCTTCACAGTAAGATCATTTTCAACCAAGGTCAGGCAAGGAAGTATTCTAGCCTCTCTCATTCCTCAAATCCGCACAACTAGGACATGCAATGAATCAACCCAACTCGAAAATAGTTTGGAACTCGGTTCAACAATTAATTTGTTGAATTAGGTTCGTGAACCAAATGAGTTGAGTTTGAACGAAAAACTAAGTTTGTTAACTAAATGAGATGAACTTGAACTATACATAGCGCGATTCGTTAGGTTCACGAGCCAACTCAATTATATATGAGAAGGATAATATTGTCTTTAAGAGTAGGTTTAAAGAATTGCTCTAAATTGTAACCCTATATTGTCTCTTCCGTAGTAGTTATGACAGTAAAGCTGAAAATTGCATTTAAAGTCATCCTTCTTGCAGGCATTACAACATTTGCTAAAATAACATGTGTAATGAAGATTGCAAGTGGTATAATCATTCTGTGATGGAAATGTATCAATTTCTAGTAATTTTTCATGTACTATTCTATTAAATTTGTAAGGTTCTTAAACATTTAGATGAAATTGTGAATTTCTGAGACAAATTTAAACTCCAATTAAGTAGTTTTTGAATTAGACTTTCAAATGTATCTCTTGAAAGTTGTGTAGTTTTTAAATTAATAGATTTTTTAAACAGTTTGAATTCCAATATGATAACTTTTATTTCATTTCAATATTTTCTTTTAAAAAATATTAATTTAAAATGTCAAATATATAAAAAAAATAGATTTAAAAATGACTTTTAAGTTTGTGAAGCAAGCGAGTTGAACCTAACGAGATGAACCAAATTATTCGTGAACTTATAGCAAGTCGAGTTTAAGCTTAAAAAAAGTTCATGTCAAACTAGAACCGAGATTTGAGTTGAACATATTCTTATGAGTCGAGCTGAGTTGAAGCGAGTTCAACTCGACTCATTCCCAGCCATATGCGCAACAATTTCAAATAGGTGTGCTTTCGCACAGGCCTCCACCAGTAATTGTAATACCTATACAAGAAATGCTTCTAAACTTTCAACTGCTACAAACTAATCTCAATGTATAGGGAGAAGCCAATCTATTGAACATTGTTTATAGCATGGTGCAATAGTGGATTTCACATGCCTTAGCAAAAAGTTTATTCAGAATTGAAGATAAAATATAATATCTTAATCCGAATAATAGAGCAGTGCAAGAATCTAACTTTCGAAGTAATAAAAAAGCCATTCCAAACTCGGCCTCCTTTAGAGCGGCAACACTGTAAAGAGAAACCCAAGATCACCCGGTCGTCACCATCATCAAAGACACCTTACTCTTTCTCTCAGTCGTGAAGGAAAAAGCGACAACCACACTCCCCCGAAGATCTTTCGTCTTTGCAGAAGAAAGAGATATGAAAAATATGCTATAACCTTTGAGCAAAAAATAAATCACATGTTCGCCCGCATCCTCAAGAGCATAGTTTTAAGGTTGTTATAGAAACCTCATAAGCTTTAAAATCGTTATGAAACCAGAGATCCAAAGAAACACGTCAAGCACATGGGCGATCAATTGGACTACTTCCACACTTTGTAAAGCGCAAGATCTTTGCACAAAATCTAATTGGATTAGCAACAACCTGGTATAAAAGTCTCCAAAAAAGAAGCATAAATTCACGGAGAGACCCTGTGAAGCTTTTACCACTCACTTCACCGACAAAAGCTCCAACCTACTATGACTTTCGTCCTCATTGGGATTACTAAAGGAAACAAGGAAACCATGTGCAAATACAATGATTGTTTTACTAAAGTGGCAGTAGTCGTAGGGAGCACAAATAAGGAATTGAGGTACTAGATTTTCAAAAAGGGATTGAGGTTGGACTGCATGTTCCTGGAGAAGATGAAGCTCAAGGAAGCCCATTTTTGAAGGATTTACTAAGTAGGGTGCAAGCTTACATTACTTATGAGAAAAAAAAACTCTTGGCCAAGAGGATCAAAACGAGGATTGGGGAATACCATACCTAGTCGGCCACATAAGAGAGAAGTCGGTTTGTATAAAAAAGAAGGAAAGCACAGACCGTGATCCATATTTGATGCGTACCCTCCCATGAATACTTTCAGGGAGAAGATTTTGAAGGAATAAAAATATAGTTTAAAGAATTCGGGATCATAAACTCGTATCCGGTTAGACTGAGACACAAAAAGTCCAAGTATTGTCATTTCCATAAAAGTCATGACCATAACATGAACGATTTTATCCTGCTGAAGGATTGATTAAGAAGGGACGGTTAGATGAGTACATCATAGTTAGAAAAAGCGGTAAGGAAGATTCACCAAAGAAGAAGTGCTCATCATGGGTGGAACAATCCCCTAAAAAATTGTCGATGTTGTATCTAGAGCCAAGGTATCTCAGGGTGTGCTCTAAGGGCAAGCTATCCCTCCAAAAGAACGGTGAAAAGCAAGATAGTCAAGATGATGTCTATCAGCAAGAAGGACGGAAGAACTTCAACCAAGGGACCAAAAAGGTCGATCTTTATTCTACAATAGCGAGAAAATAGGGGGGGGACCCCCGATGAGATTTTTCCTTAAGTGATAACAATCATGATTGCTAGCTTTGACATCTCCTAAGTCCTTATCGGTGAAGGAAACTCTTATGACATCATTTACTTAAATCGTTTTGATAAAATGTGGGTGGAAAAAGAGATGTTATGGCCATACGAGTGGTCATTCCTACAGGATTTCAATGAAAGAGTAACCCATCCTTGGGGGTACATAGAGCTAATGGTCACCTTAGGATAATGATAGGATACCAAGGCAATTATCTC